ACTATGCATTTTAACTTCTCTTTGATAAAACTAACCACTTGAGGTATTGGCACTAGGATTACTATACCATCAGTCTTTATTTATCCCAAATCTTCCTTTTTCTTTTCTTTTTGGCCCAATGAAGCCAGATCATAGTTACAGTGGCTCTGGAGGAAACGAAAAATTATTTCTGTTTTTCCTGGCAGTTACAACCTGTGCTTGGAAATATGAAACTGTTATTCAGAATAAATGCCATAAGGTTCCAAAGTACTAAAAATTACTTATTGGAAGTGGACAAACTGAGCTGTAATGTGAAAGAAAGGGAGGGACTGTTATCCTGAAAAGAACACTGTGATTTCTTGTAGCACTACTGCTTCTGTCTTTCTGTGTTTAGGCATTCCAATTCATGTCAGAAGTTGGAGCAAGAAAATATAGTGAGGTGGGGGATCCTGACTAGGGTCTATCTGGAAATCCAACAGAAGCACTTACTTCATAGTTCCTAAAACTTTAGCAGTGTTGTTAATAATACTAGCAGTGTTAGCAGTGCTGCTAATGATACTAGGTTACCTTCAACAGAAAATTTGAAACATGTATTTATCTGCTTGCTCTTTTAGAAGTTGCCTTTTTTCTTCTCTATGCATTCCCTAACCTCATGTCAAATGGAAGGTGGAAGGAAATAACTAATCTGCTTTACTGTTCAGAATTTTTCCCGTAAGTGTGGTTTCAAACAGAAGTAAATTATTGTACTCTGAACAAAGTATGATTAAAAATGCTAAAAATGAGCAGGTTCACCACCATGGCTTCTTTTCTTATACACCCCATGCCTGCCAGTCACACACCATAGAATTGCTATAATTACCCTTGTTGCAGGAAGATGAGACACAGTTGTCATATTGGATAGAAAATGAAAAGTAAAATGTTATAAAATTAAAACAATTGAAAGTGGGTTGCTTCCCCCTTCCCTCCTCACCTTGCTACTGTTATTTGTTCTGATGTCTTATTCTTCCCAGTTTGCCCTCACTTTGTCTATTTAGGCAGTAGTCCTATATATGTTTAGCTGAGAGTAGGTCCCATTGAATTCAATGGGGCCTACTTCTTCGTAAACAAATATTAAGATTGCATTGTTCAAGAAAATCCTACCTAAGAATAAATTTGCAGCAGCCAGCAGAAACAAATTAAGATGGAAATATGACCTCTCTTCTAGAAGTTCAACAAGAAAAAGTGTCCTTAACTATTTCAAATGAATAGAAGGGTGGCTTTTCAAAACTGTCTCATAAAAATGTAGAATTTCTCTTGAAATACAACCAGTTATACGAGGGGTCTTCAAAAAGTTTCTGCACTTTAATATTTTAAATTATATATATATATAAAATATTTTATATTATATTATATATTATATATATTTATATATATATTGCTGATGGCACTAAAAAGTTGGTACAACACTGGAAAAAATGCATCATAAAGGAAGCTGACTATACAGAAAAGTGATATAATTTGTTTTTGAAATTCTTAATAAATAAGAGTCTTTAAAAGTGTGGAAACTTTTTGAAGACCCCCTCATATTTCCAAAGACAATTTCAATGCAGTTCCATATTTAAAAACTAACTCAAAGCCAGTTTAATGGGAAAGTAAACCCCACTGAGTTCAAAGAGATGTTACTTTCTTGTTAAGTATGCATATGATTGCAGGTTAATTATGTCTACTGTCAACTTCTTAAAAGGAGCTATTGTGATTCACTTTTTAAGAAGGAGCTAGTTTTAAAGAAGACAGATTGTCATGAGTACAAGTAAATTTTTGTAATTATTTGTTGTACTTTATTCCTCAAAAATATAAAGTACTGGAAATTTTTGAAAACAAGCAAAAATGCAAAAGCATTGAACTTTAAGAACTATTTTATCTCATTGTAAAATTTACCATTAACAAGTGAACTGAAACAAAGCGCTTGTCATATAAATAGGAAACTCGGGTTTTAATTTCAATTTGTGTCATATTATTTACTAGCCAAGAGTAACAGAAACATGCTGAATCAATGGCATCTTACAAAGCAATCCCAAATGGGAGGGGGAGGGGGTGACTCCTTGCTTGCAAGGCCCTGTCTGCTCATGCCAGGCAGGTCAGGAGGGCTATGTTTAGAAAAATCCCAATTCAAGGAAGGAAATTTAACTATGCTAGCACTCTGCCAGCATAGTAGGGAGGCCTAGTCTTGGCTTGTTTGGGGAAAACAAAGGCAGGCAGGTTGCTTTTGATCCATTGGCTCCTAAGCCCCTTTTTTCCACGCAAAAGGACCAACGTTGGGCCTTACAGCTATGCCAGCATGGAGCTGGTTTATTGCTGGTGTTAGATTTATGCCTGAGCAACTGTTCACAGGCATAAATGGGGTTTCTAGGAAGAATGGCCTTTGCTGGCAGTGGGACTCCTCCACCTCATCCAAGAAGATTAAGATTGCTCTGTCACATTTGTATTTCTCATAAAAATACGTAAAAGTAATGGGGGCACGTTCAACAGTACAGATAGCAAATAATGACTGCTTTAATGGCTAATTGCTGCCTCAAACAATAAAGCTTATGAATCTACACCAATGAAAAATAATTACCTCCCCAGCTCTCGCTCTCTCTCACACACACACTTCAAATGAAGAATGCATTTCTTAGATTTTAATTAATTATCCTGCTAGAGTGGTTTTATGGGTTTAGTGTGTGCATGTGATTAGTTTAATGTCTATGACCCAGTCTATGCATCACAAAGTTCTGAGCATATGGGAAGGGCAAGAGAATGGATCTGGAGAGGAATACAGATCACCCCCTATATTTTCAATTTACATGAATCACTTTGAGTGTTTAGACAGGAAAACTGTCTGATAATGATGGTGGTGGCGATGGAAGAAAAATGCTAAGTAGAGAGAAGGGAGTTTTATTTTCAGTTTTTATAGCTGGATATCATTTCCCATAGCACCCTGCAGTTCACCAAAATTCCTATCACTGGACCAGGAAAAAGAAAAGTTACACATTAAATACATATATTCAAATAAAGCAAGGGTTTTCCATTCTCTTAAGGTCCATATAGAACAGATCGGTTGTTTTACACACAATTGGATACCTCTAATCAAGAAGTAGTCTGTTATCCGGCACAATTTAGTAACGTACTTCTCAATTTTGCCAGAGAAACCTTGTGACTCATTTAAAAGGAACAAACCTTCCTGTAACTCTGTGTGCACAA